CTGCTTAGCAATAGGAGCGATCACTTATCACGAAGTCAGTAATGTGTCGTTCCCTAGCTGTAGCACAGTCGTTGAACAATTTTACATCGAGAGGATCTGATATTCATGATCAGGGGAAGGGTATGGAGGTTGAACAGACCCCGAAAATTTCTGCGAAATGGTAACTCAGTGAATTTCGGTCAGGCTTGTCAAACGACTTGGTGGTTCTCAAATTTCGATTATTAAAACAATATACCGTCAGACAGCATCGGCTGACATTGTATTGCAGCTCAGAATGGCTATTGCCCACCACCGTCGTGCTCGTAGATTAAGCGTCCGCACAGTGCTGTGGAGGTAGATGTCCCGAAGAGATAGCTCCTTGCAAACTCTACTGAGGTTTCGCTACAGCCAGCGGCAAACTCGAAATAGTTCTACAAGATCCTTCTTAGGTCCAAACTCCATCTGTCTCGTCTAAAACTTTTTCCTTCTCTTTCCTCCAATTTTTCACTGCGAACTAAAACAGTGGGAAGGCTAATTGAAATGCGTTTAGTTCCTGCTCAACCTTCTCGTACTGTCATGGGGAGGTCCTAGCTCTGAATTCCTCGATTAGCGTAGCCTTTGGGGTTTCCCATGTGTTTTCTCTTTCTACATAAGTTTTCCAATCATTTGATTATACCATTTACTTTTTGAATACACTTTCCAAGTTCATCCGGAGCATGCAATGTACACTGGTGTGCAAAACTTAGGGACGAAAGCAACTTTCGATCACTGTGCCTCTGCCAGACAACATAGCTCGATGAAATTCATATCATATCAAGAGAGAACCTTAACGATATTGTACAGAAAGCAACTGAAACTCGGAATAAGACGAATTGTTATGACATTTTTATTCAACCATGTCGATTACACATAAGTCTTCACGATTTATCCTGGTACTACAAAAGAAGTTACACGGATCCTAATAGGGTGTGTGATCACCACGGACAGCAATATGCTCTGCACCGCGATCCCATACTCTCCACGAGGTTGGTAATGAGTTCCTGGGGCAGGGCATTCCACTCCTCAATCAGTGCATTTGACAATTGCTGGATCGTCATTGGTGCATTTGGTCGTGCTGCAATGCGTCTACCCAGTGCATCCCACACGTGCTCGATGGGATTTAGGTCGGGGGAACGGGCGGGCCACTCCATTCGCCGGATATCCTCTCGTTCTAGAAGCTCCTCCACCTGTGCTGTTCGATGCGGTCGCGCATTGTCATCCATGAAAATGAAGTCAGGGCCGATTGCAGCTCTGAAAAGACGGACATGATGTAGGAGAACCTCGTCGCAGTAACGCTGACTGGTGAGGGTTCCATGCTCAAAAATCTGGAGGTCAGTACGGCCATGCAACATGATGCCTCCCCATACCATAACACCTCGACCACCAGTACGATCACATTATTCGACAATGTTTCGGGGAAGTTGCGTGTTCCCAGCTCTCGCCACATGAGGGTGCGTCCAGAATCACTGCTCAGACGA